AAGTTTGGCTATTTTTCCTCAGTTTATTATTTATTTTATGAAAGTAAAGCTCTTTTAGTAACAAAAACCATATAATACCAAACTTCCAACTTTGTGCGAAAACTATAAAAATTAATTCTACAATATTTCGCCAAAATTTCAAACTTTTTAATTAGAATCTTTAGAAAAAAATTTGGTTTGCAGTTTTGTAACTCATTAAAATTTAGTATAATAAAGTGCGAGTGGAAAGTGCTACTCATTTGTTTTTCTTTCAAAAAAAAAGGTCGAACATACATACTTACTTTATATGAAAAAAATGCGTAACAGGCTAACCTAATATTCGCGGCTTGCGTTTTGGCACGCATGCCGTCGAATTTGTTTTTTTGCGTCAACCGAAATTGACTTGCATGCGTTTGCATTTGATTTCATTGAGCGAAACGTCAAATCAAAATGTCACGCAGAACAAAAGTTGGAAATTGAGTTAGCTTCATACGCACGCCGTTCAATTTCGGTTGATCTCATACAAGTTGCATGTGCATGAGAAATTTTTGACAATAAATTGGCGGCGTGCGTGAATATTAGGTTAGCCTGTAACACCGTCAACAAAAAAAAAATTGCCAAAAATTAGTGGTAAACCTTACCGACTTAAAGTGCACTTTGTTATACTAAAATTTAACGAATTTTTTTAAACAAATTTTACGGGGTAAAAATTATCCTACCAATTTGTGATGTTTCTTCAGGGAAAACAGTGTGGAAAAAATTTCCAAAATTATCTTTTGTCCCGTATTCGGCTCTCATAAATATGGTCACCGTATGTATATAAGATACATATTTAAGATGCCTAAACCATCAAAAATTTAAAAAGAAAAAGCTATTGCCGTAGTTAGGCAATTTCTTCAAAATAACATTTTCTTACCGATAACTTACCTGGGCCTACAACTGATGTTTGGACGGAAATGAGTAAAGCTGAAATTAGTCGAGAACGCAGAACGTATACTTAAACGCAGTCTGTATACGCAGAATTTTGTCGATTACTGGAGCCCTCAGTGTTGCTTACTACACTGTTGCCACTCATCAATGCCTTTTCATAAACTTACCCTTTCAACTACAATTTTTCGTGCTATAATAGATTTTAGCTAAATATAAACGACTTAGTTTTCAACAAAAACCTTATTCAATAGTAAATTTCAAATATTTTAAACATATTTTGAATAGGAACTTACAACTTTTTTACCATCTGTAAAACTGACGAAGTGGCAACCATCTAAAGAAGGAGAAATCAGCTGACACGGAAAAATCTAAATTCCGCGGATTTCTGCGCTACGGGCTACAACTACAGAAAAATTCTGCGGTGTTGAGTTTTCATTTACATGGCGCTTTGGTAAGACAGATCGTGTCAGCTGAGTCGGGTTTACGTACCGGTAGGTTTACGTTCTTGACTAATTTCAGCTTAAGATTTTCAACGGTGTTTCGAATGCACGTGATTGTTATCGGGAAGTGACGGAGGATCGGCGAAAAATATTCACGATTGAGAGAATACAAAGGTTGCGCCGATCTCGGACCGCTATTCCTCTCTTAACGAATTTGACAGAATCGTTGTTTGCATGACGTCACACTTGTGCAACTTGTTTACGTTTTCCTTGCAACATTTTTTCTTCTTCTTCCATTCTTGCTCACGTTTTGGCATTTCTCTCTCGCAATTGCACCAGTGTGACGTCACACAAAAGTTATTCTCAAAAATCCTCTCTGATCGGCGCAATCTTGTATTCTATCATTCTTGAAAAATATTATCTATAGCTAGAGACTTGGAAAACATATCGCTCGAGGTATCGTTGAGTGGCGATGTTGCGTTTGCTTCATTCAACGACTCGCGAAGTAATAGCGCTATAACAAATACTGTTGAAGAATTGAGCGATTGGGAAGCTGATGGATTGGAGACTTATCACTTGCAAGTATCGGAAAATTTATGGAATGAACTTCGTGAAGCTGAGCGAGTGCAGTACGGAAATAGAAATTATTCAATTCTTCGCCGAGGTGGTTGGACAGATACACTAGCAGAGGCATTTTTTGCTCTCACACAGATCCCTTGTGCTTTTGTATTCAAAAATGCTAAATTGTACGAGCAAGAAAGTAGCATTCACCATTTGACGGTATTGGGAAATTGTAAAAGCAAAAGTTGCGGAAACATATTCAGAGCTTATATGGACAAGAAGCCTGAAAAATTTCCATGTACTCTTCGCGTACGAACCCATGATACTTTTTTAAAATTAGCAGAACACGAAGACGTACGAAGGCCTACGCGACATTTGAAACGTTTGAAAATTGGAGAAGCAGCCTTCAATGAAGGTGCTGGGAATTACCGCAAACGTGAAGCTGCTTCCTACGCATCGACATGTACTCGTCTACCAGCACATCTTCCCAAATTGAGCGTTATACGGCAGTGCAAAAGCGATTACTTGCAACAGAAATATGGTGTAAAGCCCGAGGATAATCAAGACGTGGTACTAACTATCGAGAGAATGCGTCATGATCCTGAATACCCGAAATTTATTCATGATGTGCAACGTGAACCGTTTTTTGTAGCGTATAGCACACCCGAGCAGTTACATTGATACAAAAGGTTTAATAAATTATGTCGCGATTCGTGTAATATTTCTATTGATGGTACTGGCAGTATAGTACAGTCAATCGTTAATCCCATTAGTGGTGTGAGAATGGGACACATCCCAACAAGCATTTCAGTAAATGTTTTTAAAAATAACTTAAAGTAAATTTGCTATAATAAGCATTTTTAATATTAAACTTATTAAAAGTTTTTTCAAATAAACCTTTAATAAGTTTTGAGAGCGAATGTTTATAAATAACTTAAACTTATAAATGAAATGCAAATGCCAACGACATGAAGTAGTAAATATAACATTTTTTCAATCGTAAGTGACGTGTTTACGTTTTTTAAAAATATATTATTAAAAGAAAAAATTAAATAAAACCGACGCGGTAATAAAAAATCCAATCCAGGACGCGCTGCACTAATCGGTGGAGCATTTGAGTCTTCAAATGATGAGTTCTCCTTATCCTTTCTTAGTTTAAAATTCAATTAAAAGTGTATTAAATTTTTTTCAGAAAAGTTCATCAATGAGAATGGCGGCGATGAAGCGGAATTTTTCCAATTTGCCAATAACCGCATGTAATTGAAAGCACGCAAGAAGATGTAATAATTAACTTTCTATGTTTAAATTTTGTGTATTATCGTGAATTTGTATGCTAAAATGTCTATTCCCTATTTATATTTTCGCGACTGTAGATGAGTCCGCCGAAAATTGGCATTTCGTTTAATTTCTAGATGTTAAGCAATCTATGTATGAGTTTTTAATGAAATATCTTTAAATAAAGGGATATGTTTATAAAAAGCTTTCATTTCATTTCATTTATTAATAAAATCATTAGCACAATAAGATCAAAAGAATGATCTTTTATAGCGCAACAAAAAATTCATAACAGCACATACATATAAGACTAAATAAAAGTAACATAATATAATTAACAGAGTAGTATTTTTAAGTGAGTTCTACAATTCCAGGACATATACTTAAAATAAGACTTAATTAAACAAGTACATAGAGAGCACATCACAGGGACTGAAGTGAAGCTAACGGAAATATGCATACAGAACATTTTTAGAGTTGCTTTTGTTTAAACTACTGCGAATATGGGATGGAATAGAGTTCCAGATGCGGATAGCATTGACAAAGAATAGCCGTGCAGAGCTGAGATAATTGTAGGTAGGAACAGTCAAGTCCTTTACTCGAGTGGATTTGGGGAACATTAATTTTTCATATAGATATTTGGGTGCCTTATCTGTCATGAGACGAAAAAGGAATACACAATTTCTAGCTTTAAGATATTCAGAAATTTCGCAGCCAAGTAGGCGCGTTCTCCAAGCGGAAATATGTTCATATCTTGCTAGCCCAAACACATAGCGCGTGATCTGGTTAAATACTACATCTATTTTGTGAGGTGATTGGGAATCTAACCTGCTGTAGACTACCTCAGAATAACAGATAATTGGCATTATAAGTTGGATTGCGAGTTTACGTCTGATTTCTATCGGTGTAAATGGAGCAGACATTCGTAAATTCCTTAAAGTATTATAGACTTTGCCTACAGTTGAATTCACATGGTCAATGCAGGTAAGGCCTGTGTTGATAATAAACCCAAGGTTAGTTACTTTTGACACAAATTTAATTGGTTTGCCACCAATGTGTAACGATGGAATAGTTGCTAGGTTAAGACGTTTCTTACAAATAGGTAAAACAAAACACTTGTCACAATTAAGACAAAGACCATTTAACTGTGCCCAGGACCTTATAGACATCAGTTCCCTGTTGAAGCTTGCGCACAAATTAGCTGAGTCCTCCAGAGGACCTGACATGTAGAGCTGGACATCGTCCGCATAGGCATGCATGTTGGCGTGCATAGAAGTCCGAAATATATCATTAACGAACAAACTAAATAGTAGTGGTCCTAAGATTGACCCTTGTGGGACACCCGTGAACAAAGGCCTTTGTTCAGATATTTGAGATCCAACCTTGACACGCTGAGACCTCTCTTTCAGATAGCTACGCATCAGTTTTACTGCTGACTCTCTAAACCCAAAGTAGTTTTTTAATTTAAAGCACAGTAGTTCATGGCTAACTGAATCAAAGGCTTTAGAGAAGTCCAGCAAGCATAGTAGTGTTAAGTGGTTCTTGTCGAACAGTATTCTAATGTCTTCTTCTTTTGAAAATTTTTAGTTAGTTTATATTCATACGCTTATAAACAACTTTTTTTGAACCTTTATTATAAGTTTACACTTTTACGCTTATAAAAAGCTTCCTTTTGAGCATTTATTACAAGTTTATATTTCTACGCTTATAACCAATGTTCCTTTTCGATTATATTACGCTTACTTTCAAGCGTTTTATAAACAAAAAATCAACGTTTTGTAAGCTTAATGTTTATATGTAATTGAAAACTTAAAAAAAAAACTTTCTTTAAGTTTATTTTGCTTGTTGGGATTTTTTTTGTACGCCATTGTTATTAATTACCTGGAAATCATTCTGCCAGTTCACCAAGCTCTACTTGAGAGCCAAAGCACTGATGTGTTATTATCGTGGATAAAAAAGTGGCGAACGCTTCTTAAGGCTCCAAAGCCTCTGAGAGCTCGCAGTGATTGCTCCCGGGCTTGGATGAACGCGATGTCATTGGGTTTTAATGATCAAACTATTAAAACGTACATCGATACGATGTTTTTAAGAGCAGCGAAAAGTCCTCTGGATAAAGCAAGACCACCCATATATACATTTGTTCAATTAGACGTGGCCCATTTTATGAAAAAAATATATGAAAAAAAAGCTGTTCTTTTATTGAATGGAAATATTCGGCCTGCTATTCCTATCAACGGGATTCATTATTTGGTACTTAACACCTGCCCTTTTGACACAATCATACAAATATTGGCAGCAAGTGGCATGGATAATTCGGCGTATGAAGCTTTCATTGATGTGTCTTCGTCTTTTTCTCCCGCAATGAAATTTATTCAATATTTCATGAAGAATGGTGTCTGTGTAGACACATATCGTGAACGAACGAGATTGATAATTAATACATTTCCGGATAAAATGAAATTGCCCGACAATAACACGAAGGCTGACAAATTGTATCCTCATACGGTTGATATGTACACAGGGACTGCTGATGTCTGGACAAAGTGTTTTGAATCCACACCAAGTGGCTACAATAGCTACAACTGTGAAAAATGTGGGCTGTACTCGACTCCTCAAAGCACAGTGTGGCTAAATTTAAAAGTGATCTGGGAGCATGGCTTTAATCATTTACAAGATGCCATACCATCCGATTGGAAATCAACCCAATGCATAAAGTGTCACTCTCAGTGCACCCTCAAACAGAAATATACAAATCATCTCTTCATCGAAGCAGACGCTCGACCGGGACCAAGTGACAAGCCAGCGAAACACATGTTAAGCGACTTCCCGAGAACAATCACACTCAATTGTTCTATATACAGGTAAGCAGAATACCTGAAACGAATTTACCAGGTACTTATATAAATTATAAACGATTCACAACGCCCAACTTACCAGGTTGCGAGGAGTAATTGGCCATCAACCAGGCAGTGCGAAAAATTCGCATTTTATAGCATACTGTTAAAGGTCTCGTTGGGAGGAGTACAACGATATATTATCTTCAATCACCATAGTCCAACCATCTAAGCAAATCATCCCGAACGCAGCTATCTACATTCGAGATGATAGGTAAGTCGTGTATTCATTATAAATCACGAGATACATATAACAACAAACCTGTTGGTTCCTTTTAGTTATTTACATTTCCTTACTCTATACTCGTATATATATTTCTCAACAGCAACTCTACTCACTCCAAATACCGTCACGATGATGGCGAAGATAAACCATAGACCCAGAATAATAATTATTTCATGGTGGAGTTTTACAAAAGTCATCAAAATTTTCACAAGAATTATAAAAGTCTTTTGATAAAAATTATTTGTTAGGAAATTTTTTAAAGTCGTCAATAACTATTATTTATACTTATATTATAAAAGTCTTTTCAAAATAATTATCAGCGAGACAAATATGTTTAAGTCTTGGAAGATGTTTATTTATTTACATTTTTATGGAACACCCACACATATGTAATAACTTTTTAGCAAATATGGATATGTTTGAACGTTTTTGTTTTTTATTTTTCATATAAAAATCTACCAAATCTGGAAAATATCTACCAATAACTTTTTTTTAGCTATTTTAATAAGAACTGTACTTTTTCTCTACTTTTTTAGTTATTTCAATAAAATTAAAATTTTTTATTAAGGAACTTTTTATTTAACTAATGATGTGGTATTTGAGATCATATTAATGGCATATTCTCGGTTTCCTTCAACCAAAAGCGAAAATGATGAAACTTAAGGCAACAGCGAAACTTCATCATTTCAAAAAACTTCAATTGGAGTTATTATAGACAAATACAGTGACTCAAAAATCAGCTTGGTGATTTTTTTTTATATTCACAATGTTTTTCCCGTTGATTTTTTTTTAATTTTTTTGCCGCCGGTCTTTTTTTGTTTTTTTTTTTAATTTAACACTTCCCTTTTATAA